CATACCCTAAACCTCTCCTTCTTGACTTCAAAACCCTTCTTATATCTTCATCCCACCACCACGTCTCACCATGCCTACACTTTCCTTTCGTCCATCCACATACTTTATCTGCCGTAGCCAACACACAGTCCCTGTATCTCTCCCAAACATCTCCATCCTTACCACTCTCCCAATTTTCAGCCACCTTCACTTCAAATGCTTTCCTCACCTTTGCATCTTGCAACTTCCATGTCTTTCTCTTTGCCACAAACTTATCCTTCTTCCTCCTCCCCATTTCTTTTGATGTCACATCCATCACAACCATACTATGCTGCAACGTACCAGGTATCGCCTTCACATTCTTCACATACTTCCTATGTTTAGCCCTTACCAATATATAGTCTATCATCGATCTATGTTCCCCTGACCTATAAGTAATCAATCGCGCTGGTTCCCTTGGGAACCAAGTATTCCCCACCACCATGCTATGTGCATCCGCTAACTCCAACACTCTACGCCCTTCCTCATTCCGTATACCATATTCCCATCCCCCATGTACACCTTCATATCCGTCTGCATCCGCCCCCACATGACCATTCAAATCACCCAACAACACCACAAACTCATTCAACCCCGCTTGCTCAATCTCGCCAGAAACATCATCATAAAACCTATCCTTCTCCTCTTCCTTCCTACCTTGTTGCGGAGCATATCCTGATATCACCCTCACTATTACTTTTCCAAACACCATCACCACCACAATTACCCCATTGCTTCTCCGCCTCACTTCCAACACCTTCTCCACCAACTCTTCTCTTACCATCACACCAACTCCTCCCGTACCATCATCCCCCTTCCACCACAACTTATATCTTCCACCTTTAGCCCCCACAAACCTTGTACCCTCACCCTTCCATCTGATCTCCTGTAATGCAGCTACGTCAACCATTCTCCTCTGCAGCTCCTCCATCACTTCCAAACTTCTTCCTGTCAACGTGCCTACATTCCAGGTACCAAACCTCCAACCCCTTGGTCTACAAGTAGTCCTTCCATCTATAGTGCCTTGCACCGCCACACTATAGAGTGGGGTGCCAGTAGCCAGACCATCCACAGGGCCTTGCACCACAACCCCATGGACTGGGTCTCCGGAGATTCTTCGCACCCTCTTCTGCCGGATACTGAGGGCCATTGTTTTTTCACACACAAACACAAACGCGTACATAAATATATAATCTGTGTGTGTGTGTGTGCGTGCGTGCTCGCGTGTGTGTTAAACAATCATTCATTATTCGCTTACTATAACTGATAACTCTTTTTGATAATAATTCAACAGGCGACTGATTTTATTTAGAATTTTAAACCAGTGGAAAAAAGAGAAATAAAAGAAGAATATCCAACAATAGGAATAATATTAATAATAATAGCGACAGATAATAATAACAACAATAATAATAATCAGCTGCGTAATTCATGTTCATCATTGCTTTCTAGTAAGTGATAAATAAATTTATTAATTAAATAGCTAATCGTTTGAATTGTTATGTTAATAAATGTAATAACAATAAGCTAACAGTTGCATGTGACAGTGGTTTGTAATATATACATATATAATATGTATATACTAAATATATGTTATAGATATATGTTGTATCAGTAAAAATATGAATACATGGTTTTATACATAAGAAGAGATTAGGATTTATTAATTTAATAAGGATATATATATATATATATATATATATATATATATATATATATATATATATAATTGTTTATTTATACATAATTATTGTTATTGTTATTGCCATTATTGTGATATCTTTGGTTGTATATCTCTTAATCTGGATATATTTAACTTCGTTTGGATATCAATTTAACAACTGCAATTGGATATAACCATCTGTTGTTGTTGGTATCCTTCACTATCATCATCATTGGTGAATAATTTAATCGTTACCATAACTGGATAATTTCATCACAGTTGTTATCAGCGGTCAACAGTAACAACATAATCAATATCATCATCGTCATCTTTACCGAGTAAATTCATCAACATTATCATCATCGTCATCACCTTGGTATAGCCATGTTAATTATTCTGTTGTTAATTATGACAAGAATAATAATAATTTTCATTATAATAATTACAACAACAATAATATTAATAATTATTGTTATTTCTCTGTCACCCTGGCAATTATATTTTACTGATGTTGTTAATTATTATATGTAGGCATAGCTTCAGTCAGTCAGTCAGTCAGTTTGTAATTATTTTGCTTATGTTACTCCTACGTTTTCTAATTATCACTAAAGTTAATATTACCACTACTACTGTTATTACTACTACTACCTTTTAATAATACTACTAACACTACTACTACTACTACTACTACTACTACTACTACTACTACTACTACTACTACTACTACTACTAGTACTGCTGCTGCTGCTGCTGCTACTACTACTACTACCTATAACTACTATCTATTACACTTACTACTATTAGTAGTAGTGATAAAATTATTGTTTAAAGATATTATTATTACTTTTACTACTACTGCTTCAGCTGCTGCTACTACTATTAATAGATAAAATTATTACTACTTCTACAGATAATAATAAGAAATTTTTAATACTACTACTACTACAATTAATAAAATTACTACTAACAATCAAATTATTACTGTCGTTATTACAACTTGTTAGTAGTTTTAGCATCAAGCAAGTTTAGTAGTCTTAGTGTTTAGAATCAATAAAATATCGTATTCTCAAATAATTTGGTTTAAAATTATTTCATAATTATCATAATTTTTATTTTCACCATTCAGTTATGCACTGGAGCAAGCAATAACACTATGGATATAGTTTGATGATACTATGCAGTTTCATAGTCCTATGTAGTGTATGATGGTTGTACATGTGCAAAGCGAGTAACATTAAGTGACATTTCATGTTGAATCGACTGTCGTATTGATTGATCAACGACAATCGTACTGTTGTTGTTAGCAGTTGTACTTATAAACTGTCATTTTACTTGGTTTTAAATAATAATGAATAATAATAATGAATAATAATATAAATAATGATAATAATTAAGAAAAATATTAATAAATATTCGTACGTATGTCTAAAATTGTGGTTATAATTTAATAATACTAAACGACAATCAACAATAATAACACCAACAACATCAATTTCAGCAAAAAATAGTAATAACAACAAACAGTATTGTTAACAATAACAATAAGAATAATATCTATAATAATAATAATTAAGTAAAAGTGAGTTATAAAGTCGTAAAAATTACAACCTTGAATACACCTCAACCTTCAAACAATTCCAAAGATCGTTTGGAAGAAAAATTTACAATACCCTGAAGTAAGAAGTTAAAAATCATCGTAAGAGGAAATTAAAAAACAAGCCGCAAAGAGTTAAAAATCATCACAAAAAGAAGAAAAAACCAAGCAAGCAAGCCGCAAACATGTACGCTGAACACAACGAGTTGATCCACGAAATGCCGATGTTGGAAAAGATGAACCACATGGAGAGGGTGAGTCACGCGAAGAAGAGGCGAGCCCATCAGGTCAAGTATTACCAGAATTGCGAGAAGAAACAGAATAAGACCACCAAGAAGAAACAGACGCCGCTGGATAGATCGAAATCCATTAAGAAACTTCATTTCACTCCATCCATACTTCTCATCGACGCCGCTGTCAGGAATGATCTTGAAGAAGGTTTGCGTGTGGTCTGTGTATGTGTGTGTTTGTTTGTGTGTGTGTGTACATATATATGTGTGTGTGTATACATGTGTGTGTGTGTGTGTTTGTGTGTGTGTTTGTGTGTTTGTCTGGCCACAAAAATGTTATATGTGTTTATACATAAGACCCACAAATTTGCTGTTAATGATAGCAAAAAACAAAAATCTGTAATGACTGTAGTGATCTCCGAGGTGTTCAATTGTTAGTGAATCTCTAAAATAGGGTAGGTGGACAGCGATGAGGAAGACGAGAATGACGAAGCATATTGTTTAGAAGTGCAGGCAATATACACACTTAACTTACGTGTGTGTGTGTATGCTGTTTGTGTGTTAATTGTTTTTGCAAATTTCTGTTTGTTTTATGTCTTTTTTATGATGGTTTCAATGATTCTACTGAAAGATTTTCAATTTAAATAAATGTTCAGCTGAAAATCTCTTGGTATCTGGAGTGGATCCGAACGTGTGTGGTGAAGATAGCCTGTCTGTATTGCACCAGGTTGTTGTTGGTTGTGTTGTTGGTCGGTGGGGGCTTCAAATGTTGGGTTGTGTGTGTGGTGTGTGTGTGTGGTGTGTGTGTGCATTTAGGGCGGATTGACTGATTGGTAAGATGGATTTATGAAATGGATGATAAAAATGTTTGGATTATTCAGCTGGTATGATTCATTGGTGTATGATTTATAAGATTGACTGATTTGTCAATTAGTAGATTTATAACGGCGTAAAGTTTCGATAACCCATTCAATCAATCAGCCAATCAATCAATCAATCAATCAATCAATCAGCCAATCAATCAATCAGTTATACGATGATTTTGTAGTGCTGCTTAAACGACCTGCTTGAGATGATGAAGTTGTTCATTCGCTACGGAGCGGAAGTGAACTCACGTGACTGCGACCTCTGGACCCCTCTCCATCTTGCTGCTACCTGCGGCAACATCACACTCTGCCAGTGTCTTTGCGAAAAGTTGGTGCCGTCCTTTTTTTTGTCCGTCTATATTGTCAGTTGTCTACTGGTCTAAATTGTTATCATCGTTTTAATCATTTTCTTTGTTCTTACAAGTTGTTATATGTGCGTGGCTCACAGCGTGAAATGTAAATCAAGTTACAAAAGTTTTTTGTTCATTTCTTTTAATGCAACATCTTTAACAACGTTCTCTCTTCTGTTCATCTCTGCATGACACAGAAATTATTTTATCTCGCCATAACCTCTACTTAATGAATTCCAGTAAACTGTTTGTGTATTAAGATAGACGTACAACTCCATTGGAATGCCGACGTTACAAATTTATCTTCTTCATAAACAGGAATGCCGATCTACTGGCTCTGAACACGGATGGCAACATGCCATATGACCTTTGCGAAGATATGGCAACACTGGACTTCATTGAATCTGAAATGGCAAAGCGAGGTTGGTTGAGGTTAACTGTTTTAACTTTTAAATCTATCTGCTCATCTGTTATTAATTTTCTTCGTTTATATATTCGATCACCTACCTCTTCATTTAATCACCCATTATTTAATCAATTCATTTATTTATTCGTCCATTTGCTCGTTTATTCATTCATTTATTCATTCATCCATTCATTCATTCTTTCCTTCATTCTGTTCATCTCTTTATCTTTTGTCATTTTTCGTCTATGCCTGCATTCAGTCGTTCCGTAGCTCATTCATTCACTTATCTATTTATTCGTTCATTCATTTAATTATCCAATGATTTATTCATCTGTTCAGCCATTTTTCATCCATTCATTCATCCGCACAGGAATAACACAGGAGTTGATAGATGAGACGAGATTGGCAGCAGAGAGCCAGATGTTGAATGACGTCATCAAGTTTGCTAGTCAGGGTGGTGACCTCAACTGCAAGGGCAACAATGGAGAATCCCTAGTTGGTTACGATGAAGACGATGGTGATGACGACGATGATGATTATGGCGATAGTTCACCTGTACTTGACATACAAACAAACCACACCGAAAAACCAATAAAATTAGACCCCAACTAGTCAACCAATCAAAAACACAATAACCAATTACGAAACACGGACCAACCAACCAACCAACCAATCACCACCACTACCACAGCTTCACATAGCAGCATGCAGTGGTTACGGTAGAGTCATTGACTTCCTCCTAAGCAAGAAAGTTCCTGTCAATGCAACTGATGACGAAGGCTGGCAGGCTCTCCATCTCGCTACATGCTACGGACAGGTGTGTTCATTCTTTCAGTTCTTTTCATTACATCGTTTTAACTCTCCGTCCTTCATTCAGTTCTTTTCATTCGATCATTCATTTGTTCATTCATTTATTCACTCATTGTCGCCATTGTTATCGTTGGCTTTTGTGATGTTCTTTGTAATTATAATAATTGGCTTGTACTAGGGCTTGCATTAGTTCTTAAAAACTTATTTTGACCATTCAATTAAAAAAGGGATCTCACGACTCTCATTACAATTAGAGTTGGAAATATTGAAAATATTCCCCCGGGAATAAAAAATTTTTCCCCGGGTCGAAAAATTTTGCTATTTAGGCACATATGCGGCCCTTCAAAGGTAAATTAGTTCTCAATGCGGCCCTCACAGTGAAAAGTTTGCCCACCCCTGGTTTAGATATTTAATGGTTAATTTTTGAGTCCTGTAGTTTACGCTTGTTTCGTTTTTTAAATTTTGATTTGTTTTTTTTTTTAATTTTCATTCATTAATTTGATTTTTTGACAACTTCAAAATCATCTTAGCAATGTTAATTTTTATCAAGCCTGTTTAATTTATTTATTGGCTAATTTTTTTAATGACGTGAGCAGAATTTATGGAAGTTTATTTTTTACGAGAGCATGGGAACGTATTAAAGGTTTAATTGTTTTTATTTAATTTTTAAAATGTTATAAAGACACACAAATACCCCCTAAATATACAGAGGTGTGTGTACTAAATCATTGCTCATCCAATCACGTTCCCATAATGTACGCACATGCACACATATACAAATATGTACAAACTCTACTGCACAGTTATATACTACTACTCATACTTCTACTTTTGTATCTACACCCAACAAAACACATAGCTAGTAAACAGTTAGTTTCAACTTAGATCTTTGAAGAATTTCTCCAAGTAATTATATTTATATTGAAAGGTAACACTGTAACATTGAGTATATGAAGAGAGGTGGACTATTTCGACGTGCTTATTTCATAATTTATGTCAGATTGACCAAAATTTTTTGTTTGAGACCTCAGAAAATTCTAGAGAGAATTTTAATAAAAAAAATCAGAAGCATCACACAACCAGCACAATAAACAAACAGTATAAAAACACAAAAAATACAAAAGTAGAAGTATGAGCCATTTCTGAGGTATAAATAACAGACACACACACATTCACTCACACATCATACATGGTGATAATGTTTATTTAAATGCTTATTGTTTTTTAGCTTTGATTCAGTCAGTGCAGCTTGAGTTGCATGCATAATTAATTAGTGAATGCGTTACATTTGTTTCATTGTTATTACTATTGCTGTATTTATTATTATTATTGTTATTATCAGTAGTAGTAGTAGTAGATTTATTGATATTTTTGTTACGCAGAAATTTTATGACAAACGTTGATAGCAGTTTTTATTATTTTTCTTTTTCCCAAAGGTCCATAACATTATATAACGTTTCCATAGCTCTGATTCTGAGTTTTGAACCCTGACCTCTTGACCTCTTGACCTGTATCACTACTACCAGAGGTCATAACATTCAAACGTGTTTCCATACTGTTTGTTTATTGTGCTGGTTGTGAGATGCTTCTGATTTTTTTTTATTAAAATTCTTTCTAGACACACACACATTCACTCACACACACACATACATATAATACGTCTAAATAAGGCAATCACAACTCATTACATTTATCTCATGTGATTTGCGGGCATCTTTCTGCATTTGAACACAGTCACTTCAACAGCAGTGCCAGGCACCTTAACCATTTCACTATCACGCGGACGCGAATTTAATGTTGATTACATTGCATAGAGGATGTTTGGCTCGCGTGTTATTGTAGGGTTGCAATTATAATGCAATTATCGACGGCTGCTCTGTCTACGTTTATTTAATCATTCTCCTTATCACCGCTATCCATTATTTCGCGTCAATTTGTATCATTACTGTGTTATTTTGACCAATCATACTCGTCTTTCGATATAAAAAAAAGTGATTTTTCTTAATCTTATTTAATCTAGAGGTTAAGCGATTAATTTTGTTTCAATCTAATTTTTCAAATATGGAGTTTAATTTTTTAGAGGTATAAAATATATCTGACTTTCTCAAGATGACAATATATGGCTAAAATATATTGTATTGTTCGCTAAGCTTCATTTCTTCATCATACTGCAATTTATCGTTTGGTTCTTTATATATAATAGCTATATATAATAGCTCTTAGATTTTTTTAAATATGTTGCGTGAAACACTGTATTGTTATATTTTATATAGTAAACTTTAACGCTCGTTACTACCAACACCATTGTTATAACTTCAAAGATCTTTATATTTCCAACACCAGTGTTGTAGCTTCTAAGGATCGTCAGGTTATCGTTATTCCGTAGATTAAAGATTTCCGATAGGTGGACACAACTGCTTCAAACGCAAACTTGGTTGAACGTTTATTTGAATGCCAACAATATAGAAACACTAAACTAGTCCAAGTAACTATATCAATCACATTTACGACTTCTCTTCAAACCTCGCTACGAAATTAATATGTCATTTTGTTGTTGATAACGTACATTGTGAAGATTATTCTTTTCTTGATAATGATGGTTATCATACATATTGTTTTTGTCTTCTTATCGTATCTCTCTCTTTTTCGTTCTCTCTCTATTTTTTGTCTCTTTCTTATTTTCTCTTCCTTTCTCTCGTTCCTATCTTTTTACCTTTATTCTTTTTCTCCTTTTTTTCCGGGATTAATTTTTATTCTCTCTTTCCCTCTTTCTCTTTTCTCTCTCTCTCTCTCTCTTTCTCTTTTTTTTTCTCTCTCTCTCTCTCTTTCTCTTTTCTCTCTCTCTCTCTCTCTCTTTTTCATGTCAACATAAATTCATGCGTGCAACATGAATCAGAGCATTTCTGAAATACCGTACGATGTTCGGGCGGCACGCCAGCCTATTTCTTTGTGTTTCATTTTTTGTTGTATTTATATGTATGTATGTCTGTGTGTGTATGTTTTTGTAGGTCTGTGTATGTGTTCGTGTGTGTGTTTGTGTGGATTTTTACATGTTTGGGTGATGTACGTGGTGTGTATGTGTGTGTCTGGTTTTTTATTGTTTATTACTTAACAAATGTTGAATCCATTGCACTTTTACTGAAAATAGTTTTTTTGCATTGTGTGTCTGTTAAAATGGTTTGTTTACATTGATAAATTTACTCTGCACTTATAATATTATATATATATATATATATATATATATATATATATACATATATATATATATTGTATTGTATTGTATTGTATGAATTCTACCGAATTGTTGGCATTTATCAATTTAATGTTTGTCTTTTCAATTTTCCTTACTAGAATTTTCTTGTAACTTTCTTCAATTTATTCAAAATAGAACTATTATCCAAGTTCATCATGAAAATTTAATAAAGGTGTTGTTATCCAAATTCATCAGGCAGCTAGGCCTTATTTCGATTTTTCATAAATCACCTTCAATGCAGGTTTGGTTAATATAGTTTCTTTAAACATATGGACTCCTTCCAATATATAAATATATATATGTATAAATTTTTGTATAATAATAATATATACACGTATGTGTGCTT